AATTTTTTTTTTTTTTTTTTTTTTTCTCCACGCGCGTATCACGCTCACGTTTTCGATATCTGGGATTCGCGTTCGACGATCGAGACCCGTTTTTCACGCGGCCTCTTCGTTTTTCCTCAATCATCGGTGCCGCACTTGAACCCATCGATGGCCGTCCAACTGCGTCCATCCCCCTCCATAACTTTCCACCAACGTTCGCGCGAGCTGTGTGTTTGGGAGGGGAGGGGAGGCGGCGCGCGATTAAATCGCGAACTGATATTGGCATACGGGGAAATTTACAGCGAATACCCCGCGACCCTGTTTCTAGCCGTGTTTCGCGGATTTTAATTGAATGTCTGGCGCGCCTTTTTATCCGCCCCGAAAATTTCGTCTCGAAACGAAGTTCGCGTGAAGAAAGAAATAACGAATTGTAGAAATAATTTTGAGTCGCGTGCTTGTCGCGATATTGTCGTGACAGACAAACGTAAATGGGAACACGGAGGTTGGAAATTTTTATTTGGAAAATTTCTATTATTTGTGGAGTGTTGAAGAAGATAATTTGTACGATCTAAAAAAAAAAAAAAGAATAAAGTTTATTATGGCGCTATAAATGTTGAGACTACTCTTCCAATCTCTGTTAATTTAACGAGAAATTTCTTTTAAATTTCCTTCTCCCTTTCTCCGGTATAAAGTAAAAAAGGAAGGATCTGGAGGAGAGAAGAAATGACCAGGGAAAAAAAAAAATATATTAAGCAAATCCTTGAGATTTCCTTTTCTAAAAAAATGTTGGAAAACGAAATTAAATAAGGCAGATTGAATGAAAAGTATTTCAAAGAAAATTACGTTGCGTTGAAGCAACGTAGGGTGCTTAATGGATTTAGTGAACTCGCGTAAACAAAGTAAAGGAGGAAGGAAACGTTTGACGGACGTGAAATGTGAATAAGATATGCATTCGTTTGTGCATTTGAATTACTGTGCTGTTAAATTTACACGTATACCGATCCTTGCGGATGTAAATCTTGGAAGATTACCTCGAAACGTTTGTTAAACGTTTAATAAAGGCTCGTTTTCCTGCACTTTCAGAATGCGACTGGATTTACAACGACACCGATTGCCTGGATGGATGCGTGTTGGCCAGCCCCGGATATCCTGGCCTATATCCACCCAACATTCGGTGCCTCTACTCAATTACTTCCGGTCCCCGGATGTCCATCGCGATTAACTTCACTGCTGTACTTTTGCCCGAGAAGTGAGTACACCTATAAAACATTTTTCTTTTGTGTCCCTCCCTCGTTTCACCTCGTTTCAACTTTTTTACATTAACGAGAGAATGAATTTGAATTTTTCCTTAACACGATGAAAAGGAAAATTGAATATTTCCCTTTTCATCTTCTCGTAATCCTTTGTTGTAACATTTTGGTTTTTATATGAATTTTTAATACGTTGTAATTAAATTTGCTTTCCCCTTCGCGAAAGAATTGAAATGAAGATAATTAATAATTTTAAAAAAGATTTAGATTATCTCAAATTACGATAATTTGTCGACTGAAAATTTTCGAAAGCATCGTAAACGGCCAAAAAATTTCTACCCTACAAGTACCCTACAAACACTCGACAAAGAAATTCCCATTCACCCCAATTTACACACCGCTTAAGTGTGTAACCACTACTCCAAACCGTGAAAAAAAAGTAAATACCAAAGTAAATAAAAACCAAACTCTCGAGCGAAGCTTATTCACTTCGAGCGAAAAAAAAAAGAGAGAGAGAAAAAATTGTATCGTCACCAAGCGTTGGAACACACGCATCGCGTTTCACGAGGCGGCATAATTCGTGCGAATAGAATTTCGCGCAATGGGCTGAGTTTCTGACGCGTTCACAAATATTTAAATAAGAATTTCTCGTTCGCGAAGATACGGCTGGAAGCGTCTTGCTTCTTTTCGAGAACCTCCTCGCGTGTATACCATTTTAACGATTGGCGACGAGGAAACCAATTTCGAACACAATCCGCGAAAGAAAGAAGAAAAGCAAGTATGTTGCATGGTAATCGCGAGTCTTTCCTTCTACTCGCACGAGGGTTGCGCACCGTCGACGATAGACACACCTTGCCATTGCCTCGAATCATCCCCTCGAGCGAAAAGAAACGCGCGAGAACTCGTGTTATACTCGTGTTATATATATATATATCGAGTTATCTTCCAACCCCTCCAGCGCCTTTCTCGCCTTCCCTTCGAACGATTTCGAGCTCGACCTTTACTTTGCGGCCAAGCTTTTGAAATCGAGGGTAGTTCTCCCTTTGCGCTGCGCCTGTTTGTTTAGGTTCAGGCGATGTGGAATTTTTCTTCCTTTGTTTCTTTGCCTTTAATTTGGTTTAGTATGGCAAATAAAGAAGGGAGGGAAAAAAAAGAATTTATTAAAAATCAGGGGGTTGTAAAGTGACAATTAAACGTGTCAAAAGATTCTTACCGCGCATCCGTATATACTTATACGCTTTCGTTGTCTTTCGATGTAAATTCGAGAGAAAGTGTGATAGAAAGATGATAATATAGATAAGTTCCATAAATAAGAAAATAAAAAAGAAAGAGAAAAAAAAAAAACGAAACAAATTTCCCCGAGATTAGATCGCTTCTTCTACGCCATGTATTTAATGGCACTATGGAACCCGACAAGGCGCGTTGCTTTCTAATTACGAAACATCGAAGGAGTATGCACACACTCTCGTATGCATCTTCTGTTCGAAGCTGCTCGCGTGCGTACTCTTAACTAGTTTCGTATTTCATTACACCGTGAATATGTATAAAGCATCGTTTCTCGGTTCTCGTTACCGCTTGTTTTCGAACTTCGACAATTTACCGCGAACGGTAACTTCACTCCATTATACCCCTCGACCCCATATATATATACACATAGGAGCAAATATATATATATATGGTAATCCGAATAGAAGAGCGAATCTTGAGGATTGACTGGCTGAAAGTTACCGAACGGAGACTATCAAATCACGGATCGTACGTCATTCGCCTTCTCCAGACGTAGCAGTGTCTCGTTAATGGTATGCAACGTTGCTTCTTAATCTGGATCAATGATAGAGAGAGGATTAGAGTGACGTGGATCGATCGAAATTAATGGAGACCGTTCCTCGAAACTATTAATCCTACGGTTGCTACGGAAATTATTTAGACACGTATTAACGCCGATTCGTACGACTTTGTGCATGATCGATATCGGGGTATAGCTAGCTGTCGTTTAGTTGATTGATTAGATTGCGTTTCGGATACGCTTCGATAAAATTGGGTCAATTGTTGCCGTAAATCTTTGTATTAGATTCTAGCAACCTGTCACCGTTCACGAATATTTTATAACTGGGATAGATTTTGCAAATTATTCAGAACTCGAAATAATATACCTCAATATCCGTGCCTCTCATCCTTTTGCACCTTCCACTTTTAAAATTCTTTCGATTCGATTTTTTAAAATTCGCCACGAATTGCCAAAAATCGATAACGATCGATGTTCTCCTCTAGCAGACGATATTTAAATTAGATCAATTATTGTCGTAAATCTTTGTATTAGATTCTAGTAATCTGTTCACAAATATTTTATAACTGGGATAGAGTCACATTCATCCTTTTGCACCTTCCTAAAAAACCTCTTAAAATTCTTTTGATTCGATTTTTTAAAATTCGCCACGAATTGCCAAAAATCGATAACGATCGATGTTCTCCTCTAGCAGACGGATATTTAAATTAGATCAATTATTGTCGTAAATCTTTCTATTAGATTCTAGTAATCTGTTCACAAATATTTTATAACTGGAATAGAATCACAAATTATCAGAACTCGAAATAATATATCTCAATCTTCCTTTTCTCATCCTTTTGCACCTTTCACTAAAAAACCTGCTAAAATTCTTTCAATTCGATTTTTTAGAATCGCCAAAAATCGAAGACGATCGATGTAACGTTCTCCTCTGGCAGACGATATTTAATTCGTTCAAGGCCTTGGAAAATTTGAACGCGAGACTCGACAAGGGATGGTACGTAATTTCTGTTGGGGCACGGATCGAAAGCGGAACGGGGGGGATGGACGCGAGCAGAGGGGGAGTGGTGGAGCGGGAGGGTGGGGAATAATCACGGCAGAGGAAAGCAGCGAGCGCGCCGCTTTTTCCGCGTTCTTCATTGCCGCCGACTAGTTTTTTACCCGCGCAGGGTGTACGAAAGCACTTCCATACGAGAGGGGCAGACGTCAAAAGTACACCGAGCACTTCCTCCCTTCTTTTCAGCCCCTTCTTTCTTTCTGTACCGTGGCCCCCTTTCACTTTCTCCACCGAGTCGGCCCATTCTTTGCCGGTGGCGGGCAAAGGTATTCAAAACCGGGCTGCAATCTGTCCGAACATTCTCGCGACAATTTTCAACCGGATGAAGCCCGGTGCTTTAACCGAGATACTCCTCTCCGATGAATGTTACGTAGTTGTGTGTCGCGTTAACTT